ATTGCTTAATATGTTTCGGAATCTAAATAAAATTAACCATTCCCAGTCCATTATGACCCTATAAGAAAGCACAGGCTCTAGCTGGCCACTCCAAAGTGATAAAATTAACTAAAGTATAAGCTCAGGGTAACATACAAGGTCCTCCCCACTGTATTTTATCCTAACAGTCACTCAGGAAAACTGGGCCAGGCTCACTCAACAAGGTTCATGACCAAGTCAGAACAAGGCTTTCTTGTCCTCAAAGTGCAGGACCTATAGAAGCATAGCATTAGCTTCTGTAAATCCTGCACCTTACAGCATTAAGCATAAAAAAGGACAGCTACATAGGTGGTGACCAGCAGTGTGCATAAAGAAATATTATTAAACAAAATGGTAAAAGTGCTTTCATATCATACATAGAAACACACACGTAACAAAAAGAAAACAGAAGGCCTGCTAGAATAGAGTTTCTTTGCACAACATGGATGTAGCATTATCTTCCTCAGAATTTTAATATGCAAAGAGATCTTTAACAGTTTGTGCACAATGGCCTCATTAATCACCGTGGCCACAAATTCATTGCTTGCACTTTGGACTGCTCTGATTTTGTTTTCTTGTCCCCAAAGTGCAGGACCTATAGAAGCATCGCATTTGCTTCTGTACTGTAAATTTATTTATTTATTTATTTTAAGCATAAAAAAGGACAGCTACATAGGTGGTGACCAGCAGTGTGCATAAAGAAATATTATTAAACAAAATGGTAAAAGTGCTTTCATATCATACATAGAAACACACACGTAACAAAAAGAAAACAGAAGGCCTGCTAGAATAGAGTTTCTTTGCACAACATGGATGTAGCATTATCTTCCTCAGAATTTTAATATGCAAAGAGATCTTTAACAGTTTGTGCACAATGGCCTCATTAATCACCGTGGCCACAAATTCATTGCTTGCACTTTGGACTGCTCTGATTTTTCAAATTCGCTGTCACTCCATCTGAAAGGTGCTTCACTAATCGTAGCCATCAAAGTATAACAGAGACACACTGAGGGCAAAGTTCAATTAAATGCCTTTTAAAAAAATCATTGGAAGGAGTGTGCCAAAAGCATTGTGTCAGGCACCAGCATATTACAATGTATAGTAACTATTGCAGCCTTTGATGCAGTCAGCTGAAGGGAAATACTGCCTTAGCATAATGCCGCTAAAACAAAACAAATAAAACAGCACTCTTTTTTATGAATGAAAATGTACTTTATGAATGAAAATGTACTTATTCGTGTGATTCATGACTTATGACATTTTAAATTCCTCTTTCCAGTTCAAACCAATCACGTGAGGGCTATTCATTAACTTTACCATACTTACTGACGTCATTTTCAGAAAGGTGGAGGAGAACCAAAAGTTCAGGAGTAAACTACAAAGAGTGAGTCACTGACAATACACATTTTAAAAGGATAGGCTGCTTAGCTGTGACTGTGGCTCTTTAAGTAGTCATCTGTGAACTCCCAGAGTCTTCAAAGAAAAAGAAGTGCCTTCAACCCAAAAAATGGCAGATGGCCCAAGATCTTTCTTTTCCTTTCTATCAATTGAAGGTCTTTCCACATGATTAAATGCTTCCACTTAATCAGAAGTATAATACCTCATCCTTATATAATAAGGGGTAGTTTTACTGGGTGGAAATTGTGAGTGAGGAAAAGTAATCGGGCCGCAATCAAACTCGTATTTCTTTTTATTTTTACCTGAGAATCTTTACAGAACAGCCCTTCCAGATGATTAAATACTTCCACTTAACCAGAAGTATAATACCTCATTCTCATATAATAAGGGGTAGATTTACTGGGTGGAAGTTGTGAGTGAGGAAAAGTAATCAGGACACAACCAAACTTTTTCTTTTTCTTTTTACCTGAGAATCTTTACAGAACAGCCAGGGAGAATGAAGCCGGGTAAGAACAAAAAGTAAAAAGTGTTTCCTGAAGTGTTGAACACTTCTTCTTTGCTATTTTTTAGAGTATTCCACATTTCTGTAGCACCCCAGGGAAAGCTTGGTCTTTAAAATTCGGCTGCAAGAGTTTGCAGCCTGTACAATCCAAATACCCCTGCTAATGAAGTTGTATTTCAGTTTCATTTCTAACTATGGTCAATCCAGATTTTGCCTTTCTAAAAGCAACCACATGCTCAGCTGACATTTTCCTTGAGATATCTATGACTACCATAACTTCAAGATCCCTTGCTTGCTCAGTTACTGCCAGCTTAGACCCTACCAGTACATTTGAATGCAATGTCTTTGCTATACAGAATATTTGGGCAAGCGAATGTGAATCAAATCTGACCCACAAAGCTCCTCAATGCAGGTCTCAGTCATGTCTGGCAGGTTACCTCCCATTCACAAACCAGGGATATGTTAGAGACTGACAGATTACTATAGTTCGAAGAGGTATTCAGTACCACACAAGATGAAGAGCCTAGCTCACTGGTTCTTAACCTTGGGTTACTACTGAATATTTGGGCAAGCGAATGTGATTCAAATCTGACCCACAAAGCTCCTCTATGCAGGTCCCAGTCATGTCTGGCAGGTTATCTCCCATTCACAATCAAACCAGGGATATGTTAGAGACTGACAGATTACTACAGTTTGAAGAGGTATTCATTACCACACGGGATGAAGAGCCTAGCTGACCTATCCACATCTTTGGAAAAAGGGATTGTGTAGAGAAGATTACTTTTACTACTGACCTATCCTCATCTTTGGAAAAAAGGATTGTGTAGAGAAGATTACTTTTACTACCTGCCTATGCCATTTCCTGTTATGTCACTTGCTCTACCCTCCACACATCCTTATGCCAACCAAACCGTGAACAATCCTGCTTAAAGGCGCCCTTAGACAACAATCCTATAACCTTATGTGACAGTAAAGTCCTATTCAATTCAATGGAACTTAATTGTGAGCAGTACTTGTATAAGACTATAGCATTTGACAGTCCATAGTATGCTTTTAAACAGTTAAAATGCAAAGCTAGGCAAATTTACTGGGAAGACTCACTCTTTTGACTGAAGAAGTGGGCTTGTTCCATGACAGCATACATTAAAATATAACAGTTTTTATGCTGCCACAACATCTTTTTTACTTTTGTTTTGTGTTTCTTGAGCAGTACTTGTATAAGACTATAGCATTTGACAGTCCATAGTATGCTTTTAAACAGTTAAAATGCAAAGCTAGGCAAATTTACTGGGAAGACTCACTCTTTTGACTGAAGAAGTGGGCTTGTTCCATGACAGCATACATTAAAATATAACAGTTTTTATGCTGCCACAACATCTTTTTTACTTTTGTTTTGTGTTTCTTGCTGATATCCGTGCCACAACATCTTTTTTAACTTTTGTTTTGTGTTTCTTTTTGATATCCCACTGAAAGTGTGTCTTGCTTCTGTGTATCCATGCTTATGATCAAGCTGTCCTATTAGTTCCATGGCTGTGATGTTTATTGCCATGTCATATTGGAGTATTGGATTCCCTTTAAATACCAAGAACATCTGATTGTCCCACCAGGAGCTTCTGATCCTTTCTACAGTTCACAATTAGCTTGCTTTGTTTTATAACTGCGCATCAAAAAGGAAGTTGTACTTTTATTTGCAGTTATGACTGCTCAGTTTTGATGGTCTACTTGAATTAGGAAAAACTAAAGCAGACCTGGGTAAAGTGCGGCCCAAGGGCCACATACGGCCCATGTGCCACTCCTGTCCGGCCAGCTGGACATCAAAACCTTTTATAGTTTTTTGTCAGTTGCTTATCTTTAACATACCGCAAAAACGTCTTTACTATTTGTGAAGATTAACAAGTTTAAAATAAAAACAATCATAACATCATTGTTTCATTTTATTTTTAAGTAAAGTTGGTTCGGCTCCCGAACACAGTTCAGATTTTTCATGTGGCCTCTATAGAAATTGATTGCCCAGCCCTGAATTAAAGGATTGTAACTGATAGGGCATCTGCATCATATTGGCTCATCTGGACATTATTACAATGGGAGTTTCCCTATCAATTGTTAAAGACAGGAGTGGTAGAAATCACAATGCTGAGATGATGTAGCAGAAAATACTACTAAAGTAGCAATATTTTGTGAATGAAAGCAAAATTACAATAAAAATTGCTATGTCAGAAGCAATGTGATGGCAAATTGTTCAAATAGAATTGCCCATAAGCATTTGTTGGTGAAATTGCTTTTAAGACCAGAAGTCATAGGCAGGAACCAAACACTGGATGTGAATTCTAGCCTAGGGTCCCAAGTAACAGAAGGTAATTACTATTCTTTTCTGAAACTAGTATTCCATGCTTCACTACATTATTAATGTGCCACTGATTAGACATCTAGTCCCACTGCATCTAATCACCAGATGAGAAGTGTCCATATGAAGTATTTTGTTGACATTAAAGCTGATACATTATTAAAAACAAAGTCAAAGAGGTTCAAGCTGTTTGTGGGTAACAAAGCACCACCACCAGCACCCTGCCTCCTGTACATTAGAACATAAAATCATGATCTGTTCTTGGTAGAAACCCTCCACACATCCCAACTTGACATCACATGCCCAACAATATTTGATCTGTATTACCAAATAATATAATCATGAGAAATTATGCAACAATCATAAACATAAAAATCGCAAGACTAACCAAATTTAAATCTTTAAAACCTTTGCTTCAGATACTGCTAGTCTGCCAAATTAATTTTTATTTACTCCAGCAAAAATTGTACAAATACATGCACAAGATGCTGATTTCAACCTAACTTCCCTATCCTGTTTAAAGAACTGACAGTTATTTTCAAAAAGCCTATTTTATTCCACTTAGTTATTGAATTACTCTATATGACAGACCGTTTAAGGAACTGACAGTTATTTTCAAAAAGGCTATTTTATTCCACTTAGAAAGTTATTGAATTACTCTATATGACAGATTTTTGAGAATGCCCCCCCAGTATGTATGTGAAAAATAATTTTGAACAATAAATCAACCACGCTTACCTCCAAAAGACCATCTTCTGGAAGATCAGTGCAGTGCACCGCATTCTGGATCTTGTTTTTACCATAGGTAGCACGGAGTGTGCCAGGACGGAGATAACGGGCTATTTCCTGTGCAGTAGAAAAATATTAACAGGTGAAGAAAGCCAAACAAATTCAAAGATGCAATATACTGTATATAATAATGTTGATAATCTAAGGAGTGTTTCATATAATAAAAATAAACTGTCCAAATCCTGCCTTAAACTTTTAAAAGTATTTAAAATATAAAGATAAATAAGTACTAAGTATTTAGAAGAGAGCAACATACACAGCTGTGCAACACAGCTGGAAACAGAATGACTGCAAGAGGGTTCATGTGTCAGTAACAACTGCAATATTGATAAAGGAAACCCAAAAATGCCACACTAGTTACTGAAATGTACTAGCATTCATCCTTACCAAAGTCTAGAATGTTGCAGAGTTTTGAATTTTGGTTAAAAAAAACCCCTATCTCCCCTTAAGCTAAATTGTGTCCTATTGTGAGCTCTGACGGCCCTGGTCAGGTATACATGAGATCCTTCCTTAATTTCTTGTTCCATGGAGGAGGACACATAAACAGATTTTTTTTTCTAACAGGAGTAAGTAATACAGGAAAACAGTCTCTCAGCATTCCCCAGGCTATTTTCCTTCACTTACCATAAGTCTATCCCTGAGTTTAATAACCCTCTGGCTAACGCCACTGGGAGGGGCTTTGCCTTAATCTGTCTTTGTGAGGTTGGCTCCACCAACTGAACTGTGCAGCATTAGGATGGTCAATATGCCCAAACTGAGGGCAGCTACACTCTCTCTCACCCATCTCTTGCTCTGGTTCTTGGGGAGCTGATGCTGGTATTCCCACTAGTGCCGATGTCAGAGCTGTGTCACCATTTGGTGAGGCTGGATTGACCAAGATGATGTTGGTTCCCTTTATTGATTCTCCCCAATAAGAAGGTCAAGGAGGGGGCTGGGGATTGAGGTGCTTATCCACCTCATCCTTGGACATACGTAGCTGCATTAATTTCCCTGTCCAGCAGTCTTCTTTATAAATGTACTCCCAGTCCCCAGGTGGCTTTGGCTCTTCTAGAAGATCCTCCTCAGGAAGACCACACCAGATTTGTCCAAGGGATTCCGCCCCCCGGAACCCTCCTCTTCCATCTCCTCAATCAGGACATCAAGTAGCAAATCTCCTGTTTGCACCCCCTGCTGTACCTTCTACTCTTCTCCTGTCTGGGTTTCTACCTCTAACGTGTCACTTATATACAAAATATGAAATATCTGAGAAAGAGGTTGACAATGGAAAACAAACGTTCAGTAAAAGGGCAGAGGAGGCAAATTGAGGGAAAGAGGGATGCTGATTCTCATGCAGTGATATGAACTAATCAGCCAGTTCTGTGACTGTAGGCATCTAGTCCAACGTACTGATGAAATTTAGCCTTCATACGTGAAAGAATTCACTGTGCCACATCTTCCTTATGAAGTGGTCTGTTCATGGAAATTAACTGGGGGAAAGGTGGGATTTAATGTGTTATTCATTCACAAATATTTTCTCACTACACCACCCCCTACCCCATTAGTATCAAACAGTTATACTCTTAGCCTTTCCCATGCAATGTTGGGTCCCAGACATTACCAAAGATATGTTGGTACAGAAGGATGCCACAAGAAAGCAGCAATCCTCAGATTATTACAGAGGCATAAAAAGATGCTCCTAGTACTTGTGCTACATAATTTACCAACCTACTTAGAAGGATGGACCGAATCTTCATGAAACTGCCCAGATATCATGATGGATCTCTGAGGTACAGCACTGACTTTTCTCACCATCTGAAGTAAGAAAAGCAGTGATGGTATCAGGGGCTCTTCAGCTATAGTATTCCACTAATTGAGATCTCTCCCACCACATTTTTGCCTCGTGCAATCTGCTTCTTTTTCAGTAGCAATGAATACCTTTTTGTTCATTTGAATCTTCTTTTATTCTAATTGATTGTCACATTACTTGGGATTTTAGTATGGCCATGCTTCTAATATTTTATTGTTAGCTATTTACTGAATCTTCTTAGTTTATATTCTGCAAGCTACTATGAAAGTGCTGGGGAAAAAAGAGGCAAAGAAATACCCAAAATCAACAGAAATCAACTGATGAAATATTAGTGAGGCTTGCCTTAAATATAAATGACTGCTCCAACACCTAAATTCTTTCAGTCCAGTTGTAAGCAGAAAGTATGCAACACCTGTCACATTACATTACAGAGAACAAGCAAGGCACCACCCAGACTACCTTGTAATCATTAGATGAAACAGGTCTGTTCCCTTAATTTCAGTTCTTTTGAAATATCTGAAATATAATTTTCACCAGCCTGTTACAACCTGAATTTCACAAATATCTAGTGAATCCATGGTACTATGTCCATAAGAAGCATGGCAAACATTTAAACACTGTTAATATTTATATTAGGTGACTGGTCAGTGTAGTGTACTCCTTGGAATGCTGGACTGGGACATGCAGACTCAGGTTCTTATCCCCACTGGACCATGAAACTCATGGACGACTTTAGGCTAATCACACCCCTCTTGGGTCTGCTCCACTTCACAGAGCTATCATGTGGAGTGAAGAAGGGGAACATGTATGTCTTGAGTTCCTTGGAGGAAAGATAGGATATCAATATAATAAACACAGAGAAGTGGAATCAATACATCATCACTTTTCTCCCATTTTATTCTGGAGATTAAGTCCTACAAGTCTCCTTGCATACAATTTACTTTTGAGTAAATTTGTATATAATTGTGTACACACAAGAAGAGATCTCTCCCTTTTATCCCCACTCACAAATTCCACAAGCATCCACAGTAGTTTAATAAAGTTTCTCTTTTCTCCCATCACCAAAAACATTCTGAGATTAGGTAGGAAACAACTGCTGTGCTGCTGAGATGAAATAGAAAAGTATAGGCATAGATATCCAAAATGAGGCTCTATAGCACTGGATCCTACAGGACATTTTAGGCTTAACCCCCTGATGGTTTACAGTATGTCTCCCATGTGTATGACTAGCTTCCTGCTAGTTGTATGTCTGGATTTACCTCTGCCTGTGCTATTAAAAGGCCTTCTAAAACAGTGCGAAAGTATATTCCCTTAACCCAGTCTTGGCTTCTTCCAAATCTCAAAATAGCCCAGAAATGCTGTTAGCACCCTTTTCTTCCTTGTCTATACTTGTGTACATGGAAACAGACAAAGGCGGATGTTTACTATTTCTTTTTAACTTTTAAACATGAATACCAGATCTAATTAGTCACGGATGATTACGATACTGCAAGGCAATAAACTGATCAAAATTCTGCTCAGGTTGCCATGCAGTGGAAAGTGGCAGCAAACTGAACAGACCAGTGTGCAAACTCTAAATTATTCATCTACAAAAGATTTATTTAATAATCTACAGTTCACACTCAGCAGTTCTAAGTCGTTATTGTTGTTGTCTGGCAAATAGGTTTTGTTTTCTTAATGGTTCAAAAGACAATGAGAAAGGAGCCATAGTCCAAAAGCTCATACTCAAACTGCTCCAATTGTCAGTCATACCAAAGTGTTGTGGCTGTTGTTTTGTTCAAATGTTTCTTCTAGCACATTATATACACAGAGGTTCACATTTTTATATGAAAAGTGTCTGACAAGAAAAAGGAAGGAAGGAAGGAAGGAAGGGAGTAAGGAAGGAAGGAAGGAAGGAAGCAAGGAAGGAAGGAAGGAAGGAAGCTTTCCAATAAAACAGGAGTTCAGAATTTGTCACCCTCTGGGTGTTGGTGGATTCCCATCAGCATCAGCCAGCATGGACAATGATGAGACATGATTGGAGTGGCAGGACATCTATATCTGCAAGCCATGTATTTAACACCTGTACAGTAACGAGCTGTCTGCATTCCCCTGACTTTTTCTTTACTGATTGACCTGGCCTCTCAATCTATCTCAACCAGTCTTCTCCAAACTAGGGACCTCCAGATGTATTCAAGCAAACTCTCTTCCTTCCCAGCAATGCCACTTGATTCCAAGCCTGAGAATTATGGAACTTATAGTCCTGCACAGCTGGATGGCATCAAGCAGGTGCAAGCTTCTAAACCTCAAACAACAATTTTTTTAAAGTTTAAAATCTAAGCATAGTTTGTGCAATAAAAATAATAGCTAAAAAAATTAAAACCGGTAGGAACTAGAGAACTACACTGTTCAATTACAAACCATATTCCAGATCTCTATGCTGCAATTTATCCATTTGTTTCTAAGGGGGTGAAGTCCATACAAAGGAACGTGACCACTTTGATTTTAAATGGAAAAGTATGTGCAAAAGAAGCAAACCCTTATGTGAAAAAATCATTGTGATTGGAAAGAAGAATGGCCATAAGAAATAGAAAATGACCATTTCTGATGTAGTCATTTCAAGCTATTTTGGGGAAAATATTTTAAGCATTTAATCATATCTAATTTTTGAGCAGAAATCTGGGTGATGAGATTCTTCTCATATTGACATAGTTTTCCTCAGCTTGGCACTCTTCAGTTGTTTCAGACTATAATGTCCCTTTCCCTCAAGTATAGCTACGCTAGCTGGTGCTAATGAAGCTGCAGTCTAAAATATCTGCAGCAATCCATGAGCATCAGTTTCAACTTACAGAGCATGGATATGATTACAATTTATGACTTCATAAATGGCCACCATAGGTATCCTAGATGTGGCCTCCAAGTTACATTTATTTCTTCAACAGAACCACTACTCTTTAAATTACATTCTGGAATGAACAAAGCTTGCATATGTCTGAAAACTAAGGTAAGAAGCAAAAATACATCATGACTGAGAAAATGGAAGATGAGAACAAATAACTTACAACTCACTGACGTCAGCGTTTCCCTTATCTGACACACACATAGCAGAGGCAAAGGAAGAACAAGCAAAATCAATCCAATAAACATCAGCAAAACGGACATGAAGGGAAGGTGACGGAGTAAGGTAGTGAGAAAGGCTCTTTGAGCTTCATCACCACAGCAACGTGCCTCCCGTTTGGAAGCTGGTACTCAATGCAGAAGTTAGCATCCTGAGAATCTCAGCAATTACATTTCAAAAGAGCAAGTTCTGCAGCTCAAACAGCTACAAAAAGGAACTTGAGAACAGAATTAGCAGTATTTGTTATGATCTCCAAAAACACATTTTCCAATATGTCTCCAACAGTCTCTCTCTCTCGCTCTCTCTCTAAAGGAACTCTGATAATGGTTGACCCTAAATAACATTTAAGCAATCTAATAATGTCCTTCCCACTAGAGACAACCACAGACAGAATGACATACTAATTGCAGCCTCTTATTGATCTGTTTTCTGCTCTAGCTGATAATGGTCATGTCACTGAACAAGAATCCTTTTTTCTTTCTTATTGCATTACTCAGTGCTCTGCAAAGGGACCACCTAATTATATTTAATGATTAACTAATCTCTCTTCAATCATGCTAAATATGTTTCACTGTAGCAATCAGAAGCAGACAATATAGCCATTATTTGCTTCTTGATATAGAATTCAATGAGAGGGTCACTACAAGATGCTATGCTTGTGTCACTGTAGAAGTACGTGCATCCTCAACAACTGTATGATCATTACACTTTAACATCAGTAATACATTTATTTAATAATACTTGGTGTACAATTTCAAATCACTAAGAAAACAAATATCTTGTTCTAATACAACAACCTTATAAAACAGATTAGTTTTGCTATTGCAGTACTGAAAATGGAGAAAGAGAGAAGGGGCTGAGACTGAAACACTGCAGCTAGCCTTGGAACATACTAGCTACTACTGCAAGCTTACTCCAACTATAGAGTTAGAAGAATCTTAATTTCTGCTATGAACTTGTTCACTGACAGAAGAAAATAGCCTTTTAAACCAAAAACTCCCCCTCTGTATTAATGCTTACATTGTTAGCTACTATACTGCAGTACCTATCAATAGCCTGCCTCTCTCTCTCTCTCTCTCTCTCTCTCTCTCTCTGTGTGTGTGTGTGTGTGTGTGTGTGTGTGTGTGTGTGTGAGAGAGAGAGAGAGAGAGAGAGAGAGAGAGAGAGTTTGTTTGTTTGTTTGTTTGTTTAATTATTTATTTATTGTTTTTCTGCCCACCAAGCCTCAGAAGTGAAGTGCAACAGGTCATATGAAAAATTTTAAAATATTAAAATTAATTTTAGATTTTTTTAACCCAAAGGACAGTGGAACAATACAGTTATTAGTAGTTTAGGAAGCATGAAGTTAGTCTGACTTCTTTGCAAAGGAGTAACACAACCACGGCACTTCTACAGAAAGAATCCTGTTTAGGGCTTTGCAGGTCAAAACTGCTCCTTAATGGGGTTCTGTAAAAAAGTGTAAGCTGGTACACTGGACAATGGTCCGGTTACTGCAATCTGTCTTAAATGGCGTTACAAACACTTTTCAGGGGAGCCCCAAATGGTCTAATTTCAGGCCTGCATCTACACACCTGATACATAATAATTATACTATTACATTTATAAGCTCTATCTGGCCCTATTAAATCCTGTCAGTTAGACCTTTATTCATGTCACTGAGACCTATCAGCCCTATCTGTGTCTGACCTACTGCATGTTTGTACCTGTCCTATCTTAGTCTAACACAAGCTTGTGTCTATGAAATGGTTGCCCCTATCTGATGTTTAGCCCTATTTGAGTTACATGTGGTGTACAACTCCGTCTGACAGACTTCTAACACCTGCCTTATAGTCACCTGCCTGACTCTACAAACATTCTGACTGATCAAACTCCTATGCTAGGCAAATACAACATTCTGGTTTTTCATAGCAAACACATTTATGTAAACATACACACAAATACATATTGTGTTATATAATTATATATATCAATAATTATGAGGTGGTATTCAGAGCAGGGCTTCTGATTATGATCTTGCAATGTGGATAGCAAAGAATAAGAAGCAACAGTCATTCAGATAATACTGCTTAAAGTAGTGGAAGACTTTATAGATTGAAATGAGCACTATGAATTGAACATGGAAACACACCAAGCACTCATTTAGCTGTACACCAGCTCGATATAAATTGCACTGCAGCCAACATGATTAGAAGCAAGCATTCTAAAGCACAGCTATTCATGCTGCTTTCTGAAGAATAAGTATTGAATTGGCATAGACTGGGGCACGATGGAACAAATTACTTTCAACAGCATGCCAGTGATTCCGTGCTTTGCTTTAGTGTATAATCTCTAGTGTCTCACTACCATGCTTACAGAGGTCCAAGAAGTAAAAAGCACCTGAAACTGCAAATTCACCATCTGTTCAACACTGGTTCTCAAGAAAAGGACGCTACCTACAGTATAATCATTAGCAAGGATATAAAAGCCAAAATGTCTTTCAAACATGGGTAAACAGGCAGCCAATTTAAGCCTATCTATGACCTTGCCATCCTTAAAAAAACAAACTTAGAATTTCTACAATTTGGACCCAGATGGCATGTCCAAGGTGCAGCCTGCTGTTTTTAACAAAAGATGCCACATACAGGAATATGTTTTAAAAGTGGGCAAAAAATAACTACAGCTTTATTAGTTGTAACAGAAAACAGCATTGACCCAAGTATTGGACAATCTATTTGCCATTAGATACATTCCCCCAACCCTCCTCCTGCGTAGTAAACTGAATCTTCCCCCAAGGTGCAAGACCATTGAGTGGATCCTCTGCCATTCACACTTTTATTTGTCTTCATCCTAAGATCCCACAAAAGTATTCCCTCACCTGGAATAGAGGCCTTCCTGCCCTGATACCCCAAACTGGATCAAGTCATACACAAACAATCTTCCCTCCATATACATATAACAAACAAAAGTCATGACAAGATACATGTACAAAGAAACATGTAAACAAAGGAAAGTACAGTTAACTCAGTTACAGCTAATTATGCCAAAGAGCCCATTAGCCAACCATCACACTGGAGGTATGAGTGGGTGGCTGAAGTCAAGATGAAGACTGGGCCTGAGTGAGGTTTCAGGAAACAATTAAATACCTCTCTGATGAACTGCAGTGAAGATTTCTCCAGTCTATCTACTGGGAAGTCCTCTCTACCAGCCAGCCATGATTCTTTCTGACTGGCTGGCTGGTCAGTGATAACTGGTTTCTCTGGTGGTATTGCAGAGACTGGCATTGTGGGAACAGAAATCTCCTTAGTAATAGTATCAATGGCCTGAAGGGATTTTTTCCCACAGATAAAATTGTATGCTTGACTAGCAGTTCCTGATGGCTACTTTAGTACATTTTTTACAGAATTCACCAAGGCGATATAAACACCCTGAATGTCCATCAGTGAAAGGGATTTTGTTACAACAATTCACAAATCTCTTGAACAGGCCTGTTGGGACCATAAAAAGGCAAGAATGGCCATTAACCACAAAGCAATAAAGTAGCAAACAAACTACTAAGCTGGTTGTTGTCGGTTTTTCGGCCTGTCTGGCCGTGTTCTGGAAGTTTTTCTTCCTAATGTTTTGCCAATCACTGTGCCTGTCATCTTCAGAGAACATGAGTTAGAACCCTGTCTGTGATAGACAGAGTTCTATTTCCTGTCCTCTGATGCCGGCCACGGAGACTGGTGAAACGTTAAGAAGAAAAACCTCCAGAACACAGCCAAACAGCCCAAAAAACCTACAACAACCATCAAATCTTGGACGTGAAAGCCTTCAATAATAGAAACTACTATGCTATTACTTTTTTTTGTTGTTATGAGCGATGATCAAAGGAATAATGTAAGAAAAAACTATATGCAGATGATTTTACTATAGGTGAATAGCAGTTGTTTCTAAGAAAACTCTTGAGGCATTCTCTCAGCTCCAGTAAGAAGGGAATGGAGGATGGTCCTTGGGGTAAAAAGCATGCACAATGAATGGGGTGTGTATTAGGCTCTAGAACATAGGTTCCCAAAGTAGTCTATATGGACCCCCAGGAGTCGATTTAGACTTGCAGGGGGTCCATGTCAGAGAGAGAAAAAATTGAGGGTGCACAAGATGTAAATGGGGGTCTACGTGAGCAGATCCCATTAGGCAGATCATAATAAATATTTAGGCGATCCGTACTTACACCAAACATAGATTCTGGGTACATGATATTTCGTAATATTATTTAATTAGGTACTATGTACTATCTGTATTGTGGTGTGCTACATCCATGTGTAAGTTCATAAAATTATTAGTAACATTTTATGGTAAATATCGGTATGTTGTAAAGTTCTACATCAATGTGTAAGTTCGTAAAATTATTGATAAAATTTTATGGTAAATATCGGTATGTTGTAAATGGGATCGATGACATTTTGTCATTTGTCATTACTGAGCTATACGGGCACACACATAGGTAGGCAGGAGGTCTACGAAAAACAAATAAATCAGCAAGTGGTCTATGAGGCAAAAAAGTTTGGGAACCTATGCTCTAGTAGGTCTACGAAAAACAAATACATCAGCAAGTGGTCTATGGGGCAAAAAGGTTTGGGAACCTATGCTCTAGAAGATTCCAAGGCTCTAGAAGATTCCAAGGACATCCGCACAGGCACCGAACAAACCCACATGTGTGATTTCAGAGAGACCAAGAAGAATAATAGATGTGGCTTGAGAGATTATGGTTGTATCAATCCTTTTTAAAACTTTAAAGCAACTGTGAGGGAACTGTTTTGTACGGAGAAGTACCACAGGGTGGAGGGAGGCTTCCTCTGCTCCCCCCCCCCAACATAACAATTAGTCTCTACTTGATGCTTTTTTGAGCCACACTTTAAGGAAAACAAAGCAGATATACACACACCTCCTCCCCCATTGGAATGAGATTAATGGCAGCTGGGGATACCAAAGCATTTTAGAGTTACAGTGGAGGCAGGTTAAATGCCTCTCTCCCTGTTCTGTCAGCCCAATCAAAACTGGACTCTGACATCAGTCTGTTTTAAAGTATAGAAAGAAAATGTATCAAAACATCTCAAGTCTCACATGGTACTGATGAGGATGTAAACTCCTCAAGTAAGTTACTTACAGGATCAGAAGGCCCACAGAAATCTCTGAATGTTTTTGCAGGATCAATTTGTCTAATTTCTAGAGCAATACAGGGTCCTGAGCAGAGTTCTACAACCATCTCCTATAATCAGGGGGGAAATGAAATTCTTCTGTAAACATTTTATTCAAGGTTATGTTTCTTTTTGACACCAAGTTCACAATTTTAAGAAAATCTAAGCCATCTTTAACAGTTCTACATGTTATTCTTTTTACTCTGCTCCTGGAAAGAACAAAGAAATTTGCCATATGGTGCCATCACAATGTGAAGTCAGTGATCTTAAACAGTATGGAAGAGAATGTAAATAGTCAAGTCTGTTGATATGAGGCTGAGTGATCATGATTAGTTCAGTCCTTTGGAATCAGACACTTTAGCTGAAAACAACCCCACCATCACTGCAGCATGCTTCAGCCTATCCCCCAAAATGTCTGATCAGGAAAAGTTTTACAGATCATTAAGGTAGTTTGCCAATCAAAAATTATTATTATTA